CCCCCCCCCCCCCCCCCCCCCGTTGCAAAATATTCCACCGTTAAGTCTTTTTTTTTCTCATGGAAAATCTTCTCCTTTGCAAAACAAAACAAAACCCCCAAACCCCCAAAACTCTGTATTAATTAAAATAATTAATAACATAACAAATGGATACTGTTTTGGTCAAAGTGGGCTGCTGGGATAAATGCAAAATCAGTCTTGTTTACTATCTGTTGAGGGCGTGTTTTTTTTAAACGATTGCTATCCAGATGTCAACTCAACTTTGGTTCACCCAACAGGCTTAAATGAATTACAAATCTGGGCTACGCATTCAGATAATATAACTAATTTTTGATTTAAAGGTTCCCCTCACACATATGTGCTAGTCATTCCCGAGCCTAGGGGCGGTGCTCATCTCCATTTCAAAGCCGAAGAACCAGTGCTAACCAAAGACATCTCCGTGCTCATGTGGCCGGCATGAGTAAATGCTGAAGGCGAATGGAACGCTGTTACCATCCCACCAAAGCTGATTCCTATTTTTCTACTTGCATTTTTTACGTGCTTTCGAACTGCTAGGTTGGCAGAAGCTGGGACAAGTAACGGGAGCTCAAGCCGTTACGGGGTGCTAGGGATTCGAACCGCTGAATTGCTGATCGACAAGCTCAGCATCTTAGCCACTGAGCCACCATGTCCCTGCTAATTTTTGGTTTACTGTAGTACAAAGCCAGGTGATTTCATTAGCTAATATTCTAATGATGGCTGAATTTCCAGCACCAAATAAAGGGCGTTATGTGAAATACAGATAGTCCTTGACTTACCATGGTTCATGTAGTGACCATTTGAAGTTACAATGGCACTGAAAAAAGTGACTTACGCCCATTTTTCACTCTTACGACCACTGTCTATGGTGCGTGATTTACACTTAGATGCTTGATGACTGACTCACATTTATGACGGTTGCAGTGTCCCGGGGTCATGAGATCCCCCTTTGCGACCTTCTGACAAGCAAATTCAATGGGGAAACCAGATTCACTTAACAACCGTGTTAATAATTTAACAACGGCAGTGATTCACTTAACAAATGTGGTGTGAAAAGTCGTAAAATGGGGCAAAACTCAAATTTAACAAATTTAACAACATAGATGTTGGGCTCAATTGTGGTCATAAGATGAGGACCACCTATACTGAAAAGACTGCCATGGGTGAAAGATTTTCAGACATACCATGCTATTGTGGCCCAGCAGGAGCCGTTGGAGCTGCCGATGGACTCCGATAGCGAGGAACCCTATGAGTCTTCTATGGAAGATGTGGAGGATGCTGGGCAAGGTTCAGACTCAGAGCAGGGACCAGAGAGGCTGGTTGGCCACCAGGAGGCGCCTGAGCCATGGAGCAGTGGGGAAGATAAA